TAATTGAAGGAAATGATAAATTTTAGCTAAAGGTTAGTGAAAATAAATTTTAGTGAAAATAAGTAAATATGAGAGTTAATATTTTTTTCCATCCAAGTTAACAGACTCCCTGAAATCTGTGTATGGACCCCAGGTTAAGAGCCCCTGATCAAATCTAATCCCCTCATTTTATGGATAAGGAAACTGGGACCCAGGGAAGGTAAATGATTTTCCCAAGGTCACACAGGTAATAAGTAGGATTTGAATCTCAGTTCTCTGCATCCTTCTTTTGTGCCATGATTCCTTCTCAAATGATAAAACACTCAAGGCCTTTCAGGGGAGAATGGCACTCACTGATCATGGGCCCCAGAAATAAGTTGATAAGAAATGCTCCCTATACAATATTTGCACCAACATCTTAGGGTTTTTTTTGATCACCTCCACTGCCTCCTAACTCCGCACCTCAGGATTAACAGAAGGTGTGAGGTGAAACCTTGGCAAACTGATGCCTCTTCCCCAGACCCCACGCCTGAGAGAGCTTGTCTTTTGAGACGAATCTCATCTGGCAGCCAGGCCTGCTCTGGGGCTCTGATGAATCAGGGATGTGTATTAATGTGGATGAGAGGATCTTCAGATAGTTCGGGGTCTGGTTTTGCAAATGCCTGAGTAGCCCTGGCTCCCAGGGGCTGGATGGTAGCCAAGACTTACAGTGAGTTAAAGCCACTTTAATATAAGGTGGAAATGGCCACTTCTACATGGTCCATGAGATTCATTTCCAGGGTCTCAATTTAATTCAGAGACTGAGCCTATTCCTGCAGCCCCCCAACTGATGGCATTTAAATGCCTTGTGCCATGAAAGGAAATGAAACTGCTAGTAATTGAAATTTCCATCAAATAAGAGCCCCTTCATCAGGACCTTATTCTTTCTGGGGGAAGAGTTTTTCTCCCAATATGGTAGGTGTCTCTAGGAGTAGATTGATAGCACTCTGTGAGCACCCTTTTACCCCCTATATTATTTTTACCTCTGGCAACAAAGTTTCTGCCAACATGGCATGTCCTTCATTGGAAGGTATCCTCTTCATTAATAGAGCAGATAGTCTTGAGCTTTTTTTCAGTGTTTCTTTAGTCTAGCTTGTTTGTCTGATTCATAGGCAGTCTAATATCCTGAAGCCTGAGGCTTTTGTCGGTGATGAGACCGTCCATCACCCAGGAAGAGAGAATTCTCACTGCTCAATGCCCAGTCTGCATCAGTGATTAAGCCTATGACTTTATTCAAGGGCAGATCTGTGACATCTCCAACTACTCTTATGGCTTAGTAGGTGGTCAGGTTTATGTCTGAGCATAAACAACTGGGAAAAGAAATTGCCTAATCATGAAAACCTAGAGATCCAAAGTCCCTAGTGACACACAGTACCTTCTTAGGAGAAACCAGGGCATCCCAGTGATTTAGAATTTCCAAGCTGCTGGGCACATGGCTTTCACCCCCCCCCCCTTTGTTTGTTTCAGGTGAAAGAAAACAGATAATTGGATGTGCGGAGGAATATTGTATTTTGCTGGAGATAAATCACTGCTCAAGAAAGTCAGCTCCCCCACCCATCCAGTCATACAGAATTAGCTGGGTAGGCGGTGGGGTTAGAGTTGTTTATTTTCAGACCATACTAGCAAGTTTGGTTCTGGAGTCCAATTGCCCCCAAAGTCCATAATAATAAATTACTGAGAACCACATGCAGTACAGTAGAGACCATTCAGACATGTCCTTTTACCACACAGCAAAAAAAGGTAGAGTTTGTGACACTTGAGTCTGACCTATGCTGCTGAGCCCTGGTGCTTCCCTTTGTGTATTTAACTAGATCGCTGTTTGTCTACTTCCATTAAAATTCTCCCTGTAGCTTTCTCCAAGGCTTTCTGACTGTAGTAACCTGGCACTGTTCCACTGTACTAATCTGTGGGACTTTATTGCTACAGAGTCTACTATACTACATTATGACCCTAGAACTGCCATCTGGTACTGTCCAACAATGCCTTGATACCACGAAGTGTTAACTTTTAAGTTGTGGGCATTGGCAACTCTTTGGCAGAATGACGGGTCAGGTAAATATTGCATTATTTGTCTGCTACTTGTCCATACCACAGACCATGGTGTTTATTAATGCTTGACTTTGAGGTCACTGCACTTTTGAGGGGTACATTATTACTGTGACCTAGAGATCTTGAAAACTGTCTTAATTGTCATTCACTGTAATGGCTCAGTGGGAACAGGAAGCTTTGTGAAACTGCTGAAGAGTGAGAGAGCTTCAAGTCTCTAGTCCCTTTCTAGCCTCCCGGCATGGATCTCAGAAGTAGCTTTTGAAATCCTTGCATGTGAAGGGGGACAGGATAGAAATGGATTAAAAAGGAAAGAAGGCAAAATAGCAAAGAAAGTAAGCGGGTGGCAGTTTCCTAGTGCATCAGCTAGGAGATGAGGTAGTTTGAACATACCAAGTTTACTAACTAGGAAGAGGTTTATTGGCAGGGCATCTTTTGGGTTCCCTGGAGTACAAGCAGCAACTTGGAGTCTCACTGGAAGGGTTCTGGTTTTGACCAAGAGAGCTCAGGATACTCCTAACAAATTCCCAGCCAATGGATGATACTGATTCTATTGGCCTGTGGCTGTGGGAAATCCATTTAGATCACCTGGTCCTACTTTGTTTCTGGTTCTCACCAATAGAACCAGAGGAACACAGCTTTCTGGATGTCCGGAGATTCCCTCCTCACCTTGCTAGCTCAGAGGAGCATATTACCTGATGTCTTGTGAATTCCTAATGATCCTTTAGAGCCCAACTCAAATATCTTCTCCTCCAGGAGCCTTCTCTGATTCCTTCTGTTGGAAATTACCTTTTCCCTCAGACCTCTTGAAGCATGTTATTTATACCTCTCTAATGTGATGATCATGAAATGTGGATTGCAGTTACTTCTGGCTGTGTCTTACTTATCTTACTAGACTATGAGGTGCTTAAAGGTAGGGATGGCATCTTATCTAAATGTATCTACAGTGCCCTGTAGGTAGGAGGTAATTAATAAATGTCGTATTGGATTGGTATTGATGCTGTTTTGCCTTCAATGGAATTATTCCAGAAGAAATTAGGAATTTGCCTACTGGTAACCTATGCTTTTTCTACTTTCTCTCCATTGGAGAAAGGAAGTATAGGTATCCTTTTGTCTTAGAAATGACATCCTGAGAATTGACTTTGCCTACTGGGTGGAGGTTGTTTCTCTTAATACTGCCTCAGTATTCCATTCTACAGGAATACTTATCAGTGCACCCCAGCATGGCAAAGAGTCTCTGGTTCAAAGTTTGGGCCCACTGAGTATATTCAGTGCTGTCACTGAAGGTAGGGATGAAAGGGGGAGACAAAGGCAATGAGAAATTTGTTTTGATTCTGGTCTGGTTCTGCCCCACAGGGCATCTGGGAATACACAGAAGTCTGGCTAGTGGAGGAACTGGCCCAAAGCTAGACACTCTGGATGTAGCTTCATATAAGGATCAGCGCTCCCATGTTGACTCTGTACTACATTCAGCAGTGGCAACCCATACCCTGCTTCGCATCAGAGTGCCTTTGGGAAACTTGCTATGTAGCTCAACTATTTTTAGTAGGGGTTGGTGGGGGAAGGAGACGTTTTGGTATCTTTCCTGCTGCAGGAGGGGTATGACATCTAGCATAAGCTCACTTAAGGAACTCAAGACCACTCACTTTGAGAATCTTGGTTGACCTTTTCTCTACCTTTCTCTCCTTGAAAGTCTAAGGAGCTTTCTCAAATGTGCTGAGTTCACAAAGATCGGTGGCCAACTGTCCTTGACCGAGACTCCAGGAGGTCTCCCAGGGCCCTGGCTAAGTTCAGCCATAATGCCTAAGACCAAGATCTCAGGTTAGGGAATCCCGTCCATCCAATGGAGCTTTGATTTCAATAGAGAGCAGGTAATTCTGATGACAACATGACCTGGAAAGCCCACTTCAGAGCCATGGAAAAGTGCCAGGAAACACAATTTATAGGAAGCAAGCCACCCGGGGCTTGAGGAAGTCAACTGTAGTGTCTGGGCTCAGGGACCAATTGTGGAGGACTTTACTTAGCACTTCCCCTTTCAAGGCTTCCCTTTGTCACTACCAAGTTCTGTTTGCTCTTGATGACCTATGAAGGCAGTGAAGGCAATGTGCTATGCTTTGGGACCTGGGGAACATGCTAGCTGGCCCTCTGGCTGAACTCAGAAATGGGTTAGTTGTATGTGAGAGCAAGCAGGGTGTGAATAGCAATAAGACGGGAGGGGAGGTGTCAAAAGTCAAATGAGAGTATGTCCCTCAAGCAGTTCATGCACACAGAAGAATATAAGGTCCCTGTGGCCTTTCCCACAGTTAGGCTCAAGGACAGGGCATGCAGTATCTATATTATTTGGAGTTGATCCATATAAAGAAACTCCAAGGGACCCATTTTTGCATCTGTATCCCAGACCCCATCACTTTATAGTTTTGCTCTCCCCATTCTCTGATACAGGGTATACCCTAGGGTCATTGAATTGGTGGTCCCTTCTGGCAATCTGCTCTTGCCACCACATGTGCGACAAGGTCTCAGGTAGTGTGGGCCAAGTTCACCCCCTTCCCACCTAAGTTTATTTCTTTATATCTGCTTTCCAAGGTGCTCTGAGAATGTTTGTAATTATTGCATGGTTTCCCACTAAGCCCACCAAATGGGAGCAAATATGCTTATTTCTCCATTTTGCAGGTAAGAGAAACTGAGGTACAGAAACACTGGAAACTGGAAGCCTGCTGATGCCCATGACAACTCAACCATGGAAGACGGAAAGCTGGAACCCCTAGGATCTTACTGGATAACATAAAATCCATTACAGGGCACTGATTCAGCAATTTGGGTTGGAAATGAAACAAGCAACAAATTGGGGTGAAGGAGTGGTGGTGGTGGTGGTGGTGTGTAAAGTCTGAATGCATCCGTTAGTCACCACTAAAAGATTGCATATGTGAATCAAGAAATCACCAATGATAATTATTTTATTTCTATTGCTTTTTGTTTATAATATCTAAAGGGATGTAGCTGAAAATAAATCAAAGAGAGATGGCTGAACAGCTGACTTGGAAAAGCATGGTCTTACTGGGCTATAGATTTATCAATAGTCTTAACCAGGGGGTCACTAGGGAGCAGTGTCATTCTGGCAAATGGTAGCTTATGACAGACATCCACGGGGGATGGGAATTGCTAAGAAAGCTACACCCAGTTTGTCCATGTTAGTTTGGTTTTCCCATCAAATAATTGGCATTATTTTGTTTGTATCATTTTCGCCAATCCCTTATGTGTGCAGCACAGTACTAAGGTGTGCTATGTGGGTACTGCCAATTCTTTTCCCACTAGAGCTGTTTCTGGGCATGACTGATTCCTTACTGAGAAATTTGACCATACCCAACCCTACTTGAGAGGGGGAATTGTTGGCCAGTCAAATATCCAATTGACTCCCCAAGACTGGGAATCTTCCCCTCCTTTCATCTTTCTCTTGGGTTGGTGAAACCCGGACAACTCCAACACTCCCAGAGTTCCCTCCAGACCTCACTTTGAATAAAGTAGGAGGGAACATACTTTGGAACAAGTGTAAGAAGCCAATGATAACATGACAAAAGTCTTCTTTTCAGCCTTAAATAAAAAATCTATGGCTCGTCTTTATGCACTGATGCTTTCTCTGGAGAAGGAATCATTGATGCTTTGATTTCCCCCATTCAGGAGACAACTATGGAGAAAGACAATCAGAGCATTTTCTATAAGCCTGTCTGAGAGGGAGTAAAGGGCTTAAGAGGGTGGGGGAAAGGAACCCCTAGAGTGGTTTCAGAGTGCAGAAGAAATGAATCTTACTTCTTAAGTGGAAGCGGCTTCTGCTGACTATTCTCTTGTGCCTAGGTTGCTGCAAAGTGGGGATGGATGGAGGCAGGGGGATGGTTGTGACAGTAGCAGGCTGTATCTATTACAGCTGTGGGTGTGCCAGAGAAAAGGGAGAATGGTATTTAATACTGATTGTGCTCAGTCCAGCTCTCCTTGCTCTCTTTTCCCATAAGGGAGGATATTTTGCACAGTAGTAGTAGTAGTAGTAATAATAATAATAATAATAATAATAATAGCAATAACAACAATAATGATAATGACAGCAAGTAATAATTCATAGCAGGAAACCTTTGGCCCTGCAAAACCCTCTGTTCACAGTGAGGTGTTCTTCCCATCATTCAGGTGAGAAGAAACAAGGACCTCGTGGAGAACGGAGTGTCATAACAAAGCTATACAGGTAAGAAAATGTTGATGTAAACTATATGTAGTGGCATCTCTGCAGCTTTGCCGCTGATTGCTTTTTCTCCCCTCCATTTTCCACCCCATCCAGTCCTAGGCAGGTTCTCCTTTCCTCACCCTCCCTTCTTCCCCTCACTCTTTTTCTTTCACAGTAACCAGATCGCCCCCTTAAGGTTAGTCTCTCAGCCGATGTGGAGCGGCGCCGCCCGCCCACGTGGTCAGCGGCTCCCGTCTCAGCTGGTGGAACTGTCAGGAGGACTGCATCAGGCCCGTGAGACGCTTGCCCACCAGTGACTTTCCCTGCAAGAAGGATAAGCGACAAACACACACATATGCACAGACAGACAGATAGACAGACAGGCAGGGATCAGTTCTATACAGGCAACAGAAACAAACCGCTCTGCCCCACCGTCTTCCATGGGAGGGGCATGTTCACATGGGGCTCCCCAAGTTTGGAAGGCTTAATGCGGAAGCTTTTGATCCACCGGGACACTGGATGGGTGGAGCTGGGCGAACCCAGGGATAGCGATAGGCTGTGGATGATGCCCTGAAGTTGGTAGTGGAAGGAGAGAAAATTAGGGCTGTACGGCACCTTACTTACCCATGAAAGGAGGCTCTTTAACCATCAAGTCAGAGTTTTAATACCTGTGGACTACCCTAGAACTTGATTTTAGTCAAGGTAACTAGATGGGTTAGGAAGTACTGAGACAAGGGAGGGCTGGATAATCTGTGACAAGGCTGTGCTGAGGATGGGGATTGCTGGGAAATGATAAATATCACGTTCTGAAAAAAAAAAAGCCAGTGAGACGTGAGCCCCTTGGTATGAAGCAGTGGGTGGAAGGTAGAAGGATTAGAGCACTTCCCATGGAGCTGGGCATATGTATAGTTTGGTTCCAAGATGGTGGAGGCAGCTCCCTCCTTGGAAGCTACAGATTATTTTTTCTGGGAAAAGACAACGAAGAATCACTGGGTGCAAACAATACCATGAAAAGGCTTTAAAACAGAATGAACGTGGCCTGAAATCATGGCTTTTGTAACACTCAGAGGAGCATTTTACCTAGACTGATTCCTGGTCAATTATTTGGTTACCCATTTGGTGATAAAGTTAGGGATATCCTCATATACCGTAAGTGTTCCCAGCCCCAACTATGGCTTCTGCACAAGACTTGAACACACTCTTTATTCCAGACCCTTTTTAAATTTAAAAAATAAACAACAATAAAACCAGGCCCAGCTTCTAGGAGCACATGAGACTGATTCAACTCACTCTTGTGTCACATGGCTTGAACTTTTCTGAATGGGTGTGAGGGCACAACTCCTAAAGCCAGACTTGCAGGCAAGTCTGATATACTCAAAAGAAGATTGCTCTGATTGGGAATATCTAAGAAGTATTCAACAAGCTCAATGATCAATTGGTCTGTAACTTAAAAATATACAACATTAGCTGTGTTCTTGTCAGCCCTAGGATGGTGTATCATCTATCCTGTTCTTCTACAGAGGGAAAAAAAAACCAGTGTAGATGCTCACAAGCTTCTCTGTATCTGGTTCAATGGTTTGCCTACTATTTGGTATTGACACTTCCTGAAACTCTGCTTCCTTGTTTTATTTCCCCCCTTATTCCATCATTTTGATAAGTAAATCCCACTTCTTTTTCTTTTTGTCCCTGCTCTGTGAGATGCCCCAGCATCAGGTTTTTGAATCTTCAGGTTATGCCAGGCTCAATCTACGGCAAGAGAAATTTAGGGACAATATAAGCAGAGGTGTGCATGAACTAATTCTTAATTTTCAGTGTGAGCATTTATACCTTGGACATGAGCAAACCCTACAAATTAGAACTTGATTTATTGTTTTGTTAACTTCCTAGATTTAAGAAAGTGATGGAAGAACATGTTAACAATGCAGGTTGAACTTTGAAGGTGTTTCATGGGGCAGGTGGGTGATACAATGTATAGAGCACTGGCCTTAGAGTCAGTAGTACCCGAGTTCAAGTCTGACCTCAGACACTCACTAGCTGTGTGACTCTGGGCAAGTCACTTAACCGCGACTACCTAAAAAAAAGTGTTTCATGTGTCCTTTCCCCCCTAGAGACCTGGATGTTAAACATTTATCGCATATTTCTGGATATATGGAAGATTTTCCTGGATAGAATGTCATAAATTCTAGGAGGCTATGAAATCTCTCTCCCTAGAGGTTTTTAAGGATAGGATAGTTACTTATCCATTTGGGATAGTTTAAGTACTTTGTAGAGGCACTGAGAAAAAGGGCAAACCAAGCACCAGTGGCTCCATGTTGCCTTGTGGTCTGCTTATTATTGAGGCAACTAAATACCTTCTCCTCCCTACTCTTATCCTCTCTTCTTACTCCATCCACCAGCCCAGGGTTATAATTACACATCCATCACATTCCCAAATATACATATTCTGGGAATATCCTGCTTGGCATCTGGTTCTCTGATTTAACTGGCAGGTGTGAAAAAATCATAGATACTTAATAAAAATAGGTACAGGTGAGTATAATAGAGCGAGAAACATTGCAGCAGCAGTTCTGCTGTTCTAAGGATTGAAAGAAGTTTACTTCCAGATAATTATAATAATAGCTAGCATTTAGATAGCACTTCAAGGATTGCAAAGTATTTTATAAATATCATCTCATTTGATCCTTACGATACAACCCTGAGAGGTGGATGCAATTATTATCCCCATTTCACAGTTGAGGAAACCGAGGCAGACAGAGGTCAAGTGACTTGCCCAGGGTTCAGTTAGTGTCTGGGGTGGGATCTCAACTCAACTCTTCCTAACTCCAGTTTCAGTGCTCTATAGGCTCAGGTTTGAAGGGTATACTAGCTACTCTTCCCCCTGTCCCTTCTGATGAGTGAATCTGAAATTCTAAATTTTAGAGTTCTTCCCTTAATATCTCTGAGTCTCCAGTTGTTTAATAAGACCTACAGCTAGCCCATCCCCTGAAGATAAGGTAGCACCTTATGGAAGAGATCCTAGGTTTGTTTTCAATAACCTTTCATGGCGTATCTAGCTACTTTTGCTTCTCCATCCTCTTCCCCTTCACCTACCTCACTCCAAGTTTCAGCTATGTTGTTAAACAACAATAACAACAACATAGTGAGTGTGCTGGGAATAGTAGCACCGGCCACCTCACTCACTGGCCAATGCTCCCGCAGACTGATGGAACATCCTGAGGGGAGAAGTTGCTGTTCATTCTGCCCACAGGCATTGCTAAGGTGCCTATCATAGGGCTTAAGGAAAGGAAGTGGGTCATTAAGCTTGTTCATTAGCTGTTTTCCCTCTAAAGGAATAAGGTTCCTAAGCAGTTCACCAAGGATCAAAGCCACCTTGCACTAATGACAGCAGCCCCCTGCCTAGGAGAACCACCCGTGTTCAGACAAGCCGTTACCAAGATGATTCTTGCAGAGTCAGGGGGCTCCTTGCTATGAAGCCATTTTCACTCTACAGGCACCAAGAGAAAAGAACTTCCCGATATGGCCTATGACAGCTGTAATACACCCTCTCTCCCCCCTACTCCTTCCTCATCGTTTAGCATTAATGAAGGATGAGCCCTAGAGTCAGAGTGGTACATTTTACACATGTCTGATACTTGGATAGCCATGGGAGCTTGGGGTAGGGATGAGGAAGGAAGAGAGAAGTCCTTTTACAGGTCAGTATGGAGCATCGCATGGTGCCCAAAGCAATGCAGCCAGAACAGCCTAACAGATCAGCTGAACTATTAATAGATGCTGGCTAAGGAGGAAAACAGGATGCCTCTAGCAAGTGATCTTGAAATGAAATGGAATATGATGATTAAAAGCTCGGATAGGCAAGGTAAGTTCCAGAGATATCATGTGACTACATTTTGGTGTGTAGACAAAGTGTTTTTTTCACCTCCAACAGACTTGGTAAATGTAATTCAACAGAATTCAGGAACCTTTAATTTCATGGCCGATGTGTTCACGAAGACCCTTTTCATTCTCATTCTCATCTGACTGGTGTTCCACATGCTAGAGAGATCTCCTCGGTGTTATGGCTGTCTTGTCTTTATGACTGGGGGCCTAGAAAGTCATGCAGTTCTTACATTTATTATCTTCTTTAAAGGCACATACACACACACACACACACACACAAAAGGAAGGATTCCCCTTTTGTGAAACATGTGTGTGTGTTTTTAAATCGACATGCTTTTTGACATGCTTTGATTCTGTTCATCTCACTTTCAGACATTTAATCTACAAAGCATGCGCTGGTCAGGTGATCTAGAGCTCCTGCCACTTACCTGAGGGCTTTTCACTGGGGGGTAAGGTTCTGTGGAAAATTGAAAGTGCAGATAGTGGTTGACCTGTGGGACTGCCCAGGTTGTGACCATGACCTCTGGCTCAGTGTGGCTTGGTAGGGAGGGCTAGTTCAATTTAAATTGTTTAAAAGCAGGATGCAATCTTTGCCTGGGTCACCTCATGAAAATTTCCACACCCTCTTCTTTTTTGGTTGCTTGGTTTTATCTCAATTTAGGAATAAATTCTATTCTCCCTTTCTGCCTCCCCCCCCCCTTGTTGATTTGGGAATCTATCCCAAGCTTCTAGGATCAGGAAAAGTAATTGCTTTTAATCCACCCAATCTGAAGCGCTCTCCTCCTCCTCCTCCCCCTTCCCACTTTTCTCTCTCCCTTTTATTCTGCCCCATCAAATAAAATGACTTGGGAATCATACCATCCTCTTGTGCCACTGAGGTGTTTTTCACACTTGCTACTGAAAAATTTTCTTTGGCTGAAAGCACAGTGTGAAAGGATGGGGAGGTGTTTTTTTTTTCTCCCCTTTCTTCCTTATTTGTTTCAGCAAAAGAATGTGTGTTTGATTGAATCAACAAGTGACTTCAGTAGTCAGGAAGTTAAAGGCTCAAGGGGTGACTTTGTTGTATAGCAGTGAAACATCCAAGTATAGCAGTAAGACATTCAAATTTGCACTGGATTCCCACATGGCTTTGGAAGGATGGAAATCACCACAATGTCTGCAGAAGGTAGCAAGAACAAAGAGGAAAAGTGAGATGACCTGGGGAGAGCTGAGCTAGGGAGGAAAGACAAGGAAAAGAAGACATTCTGCCACAATCTTGAAGGGGGATTTGTGTGGTGGGTACTATTTCCTTCCTGGTTCCCTCCACTGATGAGATAAATATACTGAAATGGAAGCAGAAGTAATTTTCATTATGACAATAATTTCACATCAGTGGAGTTTTGGTTAAGGAAGCCAAGGTCATCCTCAATGATCTTTAAGACTTGGGGAAACAAAGCAAAGATATGGAATACCTTCCTTTACAGAGTTGGGGGACAATGGGCATGGAACACTGAATGTTAAGATGCTATTCAAAGTACCATAATAATTCCTGAAAGGAAAAGAAATGTTATTGTAGAGCTCTGCAGTAGAATTATACCTCAGACTTCTTGTTTTTGATATGTTGCTTAGTTTTGCTGAATTTTTTCACCCTCCTTTTAAAAATTCTTCATTATAAGGGATGGTTCTCTAGAAGGCGTTGGGGGAGTATGATAGAGTGGGAAATTCAGGTGATATAAAAACCAAAAAGAACTTCAAAATTTATTTTTAAAAAGACTTAAGAAGAGAAAGGACATTCCATTTGTTTGGGGTTGTTTAGAAAAAAGTGACTGAGTTAGATGATCTATGGGGATTCCATCTAGGCCTGTGACTAGAGGAAGACTATGTATATTTGTAACTAAAAACAATATATCTTTCTATAGCACTCTCTGTATTTCAACATACTTTCATATCTATTATCTCATTTGATCATTCTAATATCTGAATTAAGTAGAGTAGATGTTGGGTGATTGTTACTATTTTACCCACGAAGAGACTAAGGAAATGGATTGTGGCTTGTCAAAGGGCCCACACAGCAGCCAGACTAGGTCTTGGGTTTGGGGAGAACTGTAGGGGACACTTTTTGAAGATTTGGCTGGGGGCAGTGTCTTACACAGAATCCCACATTTTTAGAAAGGGGGCTGCCTTTTTGAAGCATAGAGAGGCCTGATACCATAATAATGAGGAGGCAGCAAGTTGGCAAATTTTGTTCCTTTGTTCTAGATTTTGCTCCCTTGCTCTAGAATTTTATTTTGGCTTTTTGAAATTCTCTTTATTGGATTTTCCCCATAAGTAGATGCACTATATACATAAAATAAGAAACACAAAATAAGAAAGCCAAATTATACCTGAAAAAAAGGGTTTAAATAATCCACTGAGGGAAGTGGAAGAGAATACTAATGAACAGGAAATCAAGAGATACAAACAAATTCACATAAATTAAAACCAAGTTGAAGTTACAGGGAATTATCTATGGTCAAAATAAAAATAATGGACAGAACCCTTGAAATAGTTTTGTTGGCATGACTGAACTGACCACATAATAAACCATGTATATTCCTTGTTATCTACATATGACATCTAGCATGTCAGTTTTTTGCAATAAAGCTCATCAAATTTGATAACAATTAGCATTTGTATAGTACTTTTCAAATATGATCTCGCAACAGCCCTGGGAGGTAGGTGCTATTCTTATCTCCTTTTTACATATAAGGAACCTGAGGCAGACAAAGGTTAAGTTTGCTTGCCCAGGGTCACATAGCTAGCTTCTGAGGTTGCTTTTGAATATTCAGGTCTTCCTACCTCCAGGACCAGTTTTCTAACCACTGGGCCACTCCTCTTGTAAGAAGATTTTCCATTGACAGAAGACCAGATAGCTCTTACCAGAGAACCTAATGAGACAAGGAAGGCACCCAATTTAGTCAAGGGCTTTTGTCACAAGAGGCTATTTGTGGCAGGCTCTTCCCAAGGCCAGATTCCCCTTTCTAAGACAGACTCTGGCCCTGAAGGTCCAGTTCATCGGAATGAAGGTAGATACTAACACAGCACAACAACATGGAAACTCTTTTCAGTTGTGCTGCCGATGGCTATGGCTACAATAAAATTCTCATCTAGGATGTTAGAGGAATTCCTGAATTAGGCTGTTGAAAGGATTGCAACTTGAATTCATTCATAAGAAAGACGGGGATAGGGACTTGACCCATGATATCCTCAGTTTAGAGAATTCTTGATGAAGAAACTTCTTTTACATTTGTGTGCAGACATGAATTCACAGAGAGTTGCCCAGAGCACTGAGACATCAATTGACTTGCCCAGGGTCACATGGTCATTCTGGGTCAGAGTATTGCTTACTCTATGTTACCTCTCTGGAAACTTTCTAGAAAAGATAAAAAAGGCAGCGACTTATCTTGGGGATCCTCAGCTTATTATGCAAGATTCAGCAAGGTGGAATTTTCCCAGAACCCAGTGGGATACTCTCCACCTGTCCCACATGCTCACAATCTATTAGGATGTACATCACCCAAGTGTGTGTGTGTGTGTGTGTGTGTGTGTGTGTGTGTGTGTGTGTGTGTGTGTGTACACCTCCTGGGTTCCTTGTTAGCCAGCCCTCCTGCAGCTTCCCCCTGTGAGAGCCAGAAGGACCATCTCCCTCCCAAGAAAAGGTCAAGGTCATCCTCCTGCTGAAGCCCAATGAAGCATCGAGCTTTGATAGGAAACAACAGTTCACATTAACATTCATTTTGGTACAAACATATGTGGGACAGGGCTCTCTCTCCTCCTGTATTCTTCCCACCCTGGAATGTAGGGGATTGGAATGAGATCAATTTAGCATCTACCAGAACCATCCTCAGTGGCAGGATAACAAGTATGGAGCAGGGGGGGTGCTTAGAGCAGCATTTTTAAAGGGATGCTTCAAAGCAAACTTCATTGTCTAATCTTAAACCACTTGGATACTCTTTCTTGGTTTTGGTCATTCCCCACAAAGCCTTCCTAAAGAGTTGCCAAAATTTCCCTTGATTCCAAAGGGAAAAAGCAATGAATCTCAAAAGCTGGCTCTCCAGCAGAAAGGGATGGGGATCTTTATTTCCCATAGGATTTTTCTCTGCTTCACTTGACAGAGACATCTTGAATCCTTAATAAAGCAATGGTAATGAAAGGGGAAGATACCATATTTAAAAGATATCCCAAAAGTGCATGAACTTCTGCCTGACTTTATTAGTGGAATGGATGGGAAGGGTGCTAAGTGATTTCAGTGAATTGTGTTTTAGAAAGAGCAATGGATTTGGAAGCTGAGAACCTGGCTCTGCTATTCTGTGACCTTGGATTTAGCCTCTGTTCTCAGGATCTTCAGATGTAAAAAGAGGAGATTAGACATTACGGTTCCTTCCAACTCTAAATCTATGATACTCCTAGAATCTGGTGACTAGCTGAATTCTGGAGTCCTTTCCAGATCTTAATTGGTGCTCAGCTATGGACATTCTTTACTGATCTCCTGACAACAATTATCCTGAATGAGAAGTTCACTCCAAAGTCACTGTCTTGGTTATGAAGATGGAGAAGTAGTCATCAGTGTCAACCAGGGCAGGAAGCTATGGTGAAACAGACCAAGACACAGAGGAATAAACGCGTGAGGCAACACATTTGTGGAAGCGGGGAGGGAGGAGAGGAGGCAACAGACCGATCGATCACTCTTTCCATTTCCAGAGCACCTTCCATCCAAAGGATCCCAAAGCATAGGACAGACCGTTAGAGATATAGGGATCACTCACCCGCTGCTGGAAGGTAGCCACCTCTGGGGTGAAACGCGGTAGCCAGTCTTATTCTGCGCCAGCAGCACTATGCAATTGGGTTTTTAGGAAGGGAAGTGAAGAATAACTTATCCAATGGCAACTGTGAATACCTATTGTTCTAGAGGAGCCCCTACATTGATACCAATAGGCAGCAGGCATGCGAAACACACAATAGATATTTACAGCACACAGAAGCAGCATATGCCGTTGATGCCCATGCCGATATAGAGTATATGGTATGCTCACCACCATACACTGTACATATAGGATGATAGCTCAACCTAGCACAGCGGGTATCACACACACACACACACACACATATATACATGCAATATGCAAATATTTATCATACATGCATGCACAGGCGTACATATGCATGCATTTGCATAAATATTATGGGTAATCTATATAAGCAATAACATGACCAATTATGTAGTTGAGGTACAGGCACCCAGGATGCCAGTTACTGAAAAATAGCAGTGGTATATAATTTGTTGTTGTTCAGTCGTGTCTGATTTTGTGACCCCATTTGGGGTTTTCTTGGCAAAGATACTGGAGTGGTTTGCCATTTCCTTCTCCAGCTTATTTTACAGATGAGGACTCTAAGGTAAACAGATTAAGTGATTTGCTCAAGATCACACACCTAGTATGTCTCTAAGGGCAAATGTGAATTCAGGTCTTCCTGACTCCAGTCTTAGCACTCTATCCACTGTGTTCCCTAGCTTCCCCAACCCTAGCTCCACAGCATATGTTGTCTTCCTCCATGGTGTAGAAAGATCCAAGAAATAAACAACTTGATATCCATGGATGGATCATAAGGGTCAGCTCATTGAGGGATTTAGATATGAAGGAACCAGAGACTAGGCTAAATAGCCAATGTAGTGATCAGAGGTGACTGAGAAGTAATATAACAAATACAGGAGGAGTCTAAGTTAGAATTGTCAAACACACAGCCACGGACTGCAATCTACACAACACTGAACCAGATTAAAATATAATTTAGAAATATTTTTTAAAAAATAAATAAAAATACAGCAAAACAAAAAATGTTAATGTGGTTTTCTAATATGTCTGCAGAAATTCTTGTTACAGTATTTTTTGCTACTGCTCTGAGGCACAGAAAGTATCCTCTCTCGTTGTTTTCCTTAGGAAAATACAAACACAACATAAGAAAACACATTTTACTCACTTATTCAGTAAACTGGTAGGATCAAATATAGCATCCCCTGTTTGGCTTTTAACGCTGTTCATAACCTAGCCCCTTCCAACTTTTCCAGTCTTCTTACACCTCACTCCCTTCCATAAACTCAGTGCTCTAGGGATTCTGGCCTCCTTGCTATTCCTTGCACAAAACACTCCATCTTCCAACTTTGTGCATTTCTTTGGCTGCCCCTCCAGGCTTGGAACTCTTTTCTCTCTTCATCTGTGCTTCCTGGCTTCCTTCAAGTACCAGCTTAAATCCCACCTTCTATAGGAAGCCTTTTTTTTCTGAAAATGCATGCCTGCTTATCCCCAATTTATCCTACAAAATTCTTATTTGTACATAGTTATTTGCATATTGTCTTAGACTATGAGCTCCTTGAGGAAAGGAACTGTTTTTGTCTTTCTATGTATCCCTAGCACTTAGCACAGTGCCTGGTACATTGTTGTTCAGTTGTGCTCTACCCTATAGACCATACTGTCCATGAATTTTCTTAGCAAAGATACTGGAGTGGTTTGCCATTTCCTTCTCCAGTGGTTAAAGCAAATAGGGGTGAAGTGACTTGCCCAGGGTCACACAGCTAGTAAGTGTCAGAGGCCAGATTTGAACTCAGCTCTTCCTGACTGCAGGACCAGCACTCTATCCACTGAGCTACCCAGCTGCTTCCAAATGCAGTACTTGTTGCTTTATGACAAAACAGGACAATGATAAATGTTGGAGAGGATGTGGGAATATTGGAACGCTAATACATTGTTGGTGGAGTTGTGAGATGATCCAACCATTCTGGAGAACAATTTGGAACTATGGCCAAAGGGCTACAAAAATGTGCATACCCTTTGATCCAGCAATAGCACTTCTAGGGCTATATTCCAAAAAGATCAAACAAATGGGAAAAGGACCCACATGTACAAAAATATTCATAGCAGCTCTTTTTGTGGTGGCAAAGAATTGGAAATTGAGAGGATGCCCATCAATTGGGGAATGGCTGAGCAAGTTGTGGTATATGAATGTAATGGAATACTCTTGTGCTATAAGAAAGGATGAACAGGCTGACTTCTGAAAAACCTGGAAAAAACCTGGAAAGACTTATATGGTCTGATACTGAGTGAAGTGAGCAGAACCAAGAGGACTTTGTACACAATAGCAGCCACGTTATGCAATGACTAAGAATGTTAAACTGAACCCTTCTCAGCATTAGGAGGATCTAAGACATCTCCAGGGGCCTCGGGATGGAAAATGCTGTTCACATCCAAAGAAAGAACTATGGAAGTCGAATCACTCTCACTTATTTTTACCTTCTGTTGAGTTTTGTTTCATCTTTCTGATGGTTCCTCCTATTGGTTTTAATTTTTACTTACAACTTCACTAATGTGAAAATATGTTTAATGGGTATGTAAATGTAAAGCCTATGCCAGCTTGTGCGCCATCTTGGGGAGGGTGGGGGGGAGAAAAAGGGAGAAAAATTTTCAACTCAAAAGCATATGGAAAAAAAAATTTGAAAAAATGCTTGTTGATGAAAAAAAATAAGTACTTGTTGCTTTGCCTCCACTTGACCTATAGTACCACAAATGGTAAGAGATAAAGCTGTGCTATTACTTTTGTCTGGCATATGAGTGTGCCAGTGAGATCATATTACTCTCAAATAGTAGGATTAGCATCTCTACATAGTTAGAAGCACACCTGTACTGGATCTATTCATTATTGGATAGAGCAGAACTTTTAATATTTCTCAACTCAGAATTTACAGTAGCCCATGGCAAGACCAAACTTACATGAAAACTATTTGCTGCAAATGTCTGACTTGGTATATGTTTTGGATGACCCCCTCACAAATTTCCAGCTTTATGTGTGAGATAAATGCCACCTCATGCCCAACTGTATGCATTTAATGACCCTCTTAATATTATTCAAGTGCTATTTCTGGGTGCTGGGCAGGATGGGGCCATCCCTTTATGGCAGCCTCTCTCTGATTAGCAGTCCCTTTTCTTACAAATATTTGCCTTTAAATATTCACTGCTCCTAAATATGGCATGACTAAACCTTCATTCCAGAAGGTTCAGGGTAATGGTGGGAAATGGGTTTTCCTGACCCAACGAAAGAGTCTGAGAGTCACCATGACTCCTCATCCTCTTCCTTTTTCTTCTTCCTCCTCCTCCTCCTCCTCCTCCTCCTCCTCCTCCTTCTTCTTCTTCTTCTTCTTCTTCTTCTTCTTCTTCTTCTTCTTCTTCTTCTTCTCTGTCTTTTCTTTTTAAGCATGAAGAAATGCTGACAGAGCTGAAGGAATGTCTGAGAATATGGTAAAAAAAATATACTGACTGGACTTCTTAAGTTTACCTTTAAAAATGTCTTATTAAAAGTTTGCTGACTTTACTGGGATTACCATGTTTAATGAGAAGCCTCAGAGACTTTAGGCATAAGGGATGAAAAGGGAAAATAGATGCTTTAATAACCATAATTATACAATCCCATGATTAGCTCAAAGCACTTTTGAAGAAGCCTGAGAGAGGAGGTAATATCACTTTTAATTGGATTGGTTCCTTCAGAAAGCTGCAAAGAGTATGTATGTGAAAAAGATGATTCTCTTCCATGCTCTGGTTTGTGCCAACCACTGGGCTAGGTAGGCGATGGGTTTCTAAGGCAAGGATTCATTAGTTGTAGAAGAAAGACTATCACAAGCAGGGGGTCCCAGGATGGGCAGCCTCACAGGACTGAAACACTAAAGGTATGTTCCACTTTAGCTGTTCTAAAACATTTGCCGCTCCTAAATTGTTTACCTGATACCTGGTACTAGTAATGAGCAAAAAGACAAATGGCTTCACTCTATCCCAGAAGAGCCATAAGAAAGATCCTTTTCTTCTCCTGAGAAGAAAGAAAGATCCTGAGCCAGCCAGCCCAAAGCCAGCAAATGTGCACCCCTGACCACACCCTACCAATGCTTGCCACCCCACTGCAGTGCAGCTGCCTAAGCCTCCCCTGCCAAAAAAAAAAAAAGGAAAAAAAAGAACAAACAAACAAACAAAAACACCAAAAAACCGAGGGCTCCTGTGTTCTGGCTCAATGATCTCATTTTTGCTCTCTGAGAAGACAGCCCCACAGTTCAGAGCACAGCTCCAGCTGTGACTGGGAAAAAGCCATGGCTGACATCTGAAGACAAGTAAATCCACTTTCCAAAACTGTCCCTCTTGCCTTGGTTGGACTATTAAGGACCAAATGAGATAACATATGTAAAATTTTTTGTAAGCCTCTAAGACTCATACAAATGCTAGCTAGCTAGCTGTAGTTGATATTGTTATCATTGTTGTTGTTATTGTTATCTAGCTTCTCCTATTTACAGTAGAAGTAAGTCCTTGATGTTAATCCACATCTAACCCCAAATGCCAGTATTCCATCCTCAAATAATACAAACTAGTTTATAATGTGTTGGTGTAATATTGACAATTTATGGAATGAAATAAAGTAGATTTCTTCATTAAACATTCATTGAATTGCAAAATCCTAGCTTTAAAAAGGATTTAGGCTAGTTACTTAAGGTAGGAATGCCTTCTCCAAGTAAGCACTTCTAGTGACAGGGAACTGACTATGTTTTGGAGGAAACTATTTCACTTATGGGCAGTTCTCATTGTTACAGAATTCCTCCCTATTATTAGTCCTGTGGGACAGACTGAAAACTCCTGGGGTATTTAAGTCTTAGAGTTGCCTGGGTCACTGACTTCCTCCTGGTCACATAGTGAGCATGTGTCAGAATTGAGACTTGGAGCCAGGTCTATCAGACTCTAAGACCTGCCCTTTATGCACTGTGGCACTATTTGTATATGGAGAAGAATATGATTTCCAAGTCACTTCCA